TATTTCGTTCACTTTAATAGGAACAGCGAACAATGCTCTGCATGTTTCAACGGTTTAATAATTTTTCAGTTCTTCAAAAGTTACAAGCTGAATTTTACTACCATAAGGGCTTGAGAAGAGAGATCTTTCCATACAATATGTGACCACTTGACCGAACACAACATCTTTGCGGAAAAGATCGATGATGCCATGAAAGAAGTGGACAAAACCAAGAACGGGTGGTATCACCACCTTGAGGTTCCAAACTTCCCTGCGAGATGGCAACAGAAGAAATAATAACTCGTAAAAGGAAAAACAACCGACATGCTTCAAGAGATACCTGACCGACAGCTAAACTCTGGTTGGGACTCACTTCTTTTCGTTCCGCCACTTGTTCCGTTCCGTTCTCGACAGCAGGCTCCGCTTTTACATCAGACGTTTCCATAGCTTCTTCCAAGTCATCATCCTCGTCATCTTCAAGGCTCCACATCTTCTTTTCAGTCTTTCCTTCACCGTTAGAATTCGAGCACTAAAATGCCTACTTCGAGTTTATCAATAAAAATGGAAGAAAATAAACCCAAACTGCCACAGCACCTCTCCTTTATCGTCTTTCTCGGCGTTCTCAGCCGCGTTTGCAGCTTTATTCCGTCGAGCCCGCCAAATTTCCACTTTTCTTCGCCGTTCCTCCATCAAACGTTCTAATTCTGTTCCTGCCTCTGTCTAAAAGAACTAGTTGAGTGAAGGTAATTTAGAACAAAGAGTAACAAAAACGGAAAATAGTCTGAAACCCTACTTTATCCTTCATAACAACTATTTCTACGATATCTTTCTCCTTTTTCTTTTCCGCTTCATCGGTTTTTCTTTTTTCTTTATCTCTGCTTTTTTCACTCTTCTTTCTGTCCTTTTCCCGACGCGGAGACCTGAATGAAATATTTCATAAATATTCACATACCAACAACCAACTACTAGTTGACTACCCAAAAACAGTCCTAAGTTACCTCAGAAACAGTAACACAGCACAAAGTAGGCTACAATGCTTAAGCTAACTACTGCCTTATTGAGCTTTTGATTTTTTGTTTTGCGCTGTTCTTCAGATGGATCTTGTAGGAAATTATCGCCTACTGTATTAATT